CCAGGAGCCCCTAGTAGCGTCCTTGCTCCTGGTAGTAAGGCCAGGAGGCCCTAGTAGCGTCCTGTAGTAGGGCCAGGGTTATAGTAGCGTCCTTGATCCTAGTAGGGCTAGGAGCCCCTAGTAGCGTCCTTGATTATAGTAGTAGGGCCAGGAGCCCCTAGTAGCGTCCTTGCTCCTAGTAGTAGGGCCAGGAGCCGCTAGTGGCGTCCTTGGTTGTAGCAGTAGGGCCAGGAGCCCCTAGTAGCGTCCTTGCTCTTAGTAGTAGGGCCAGGAGCCCCTAGTAGCGTCCTTGCTCCTAGTAGTAGGGCCAGGAGCCCCTAGTAGCGTCCTTGCTCCTGGTAGTAAGGCCAGGAGCCCCTAGTAGCGTCCTTGCTCCTAGCAGTAGGGCCAGGAGCCCCTAGTAGCGTCCTTGCTCCTAGTAGTAAGGCCAGGCAGGAGGCCCTAGTAGCGTCCTTGCTCCTAGTAGTAGGGCCAGGAGCCCATAGTAGCGTCCTTGCTCCTAGTAGTAGGGCCAGGAGCCCCTACTAGCGTCCTTGCTCCTAGTAGTAGGGCCAGGAGCCCCTACTAGCGTCCTTGCTCCTAGTAGTAGGGCCAGGAGCCCCCAGTAGCGTCCTTGCTCCTAGTAGTCAGGAGCCCCTAGTAGCGTCCTTGCTCCTAGTAGTAAGGCCAGGAGCCCCCAGTAGCGTCCTTGCTCCTAGTAGTAGGGGCAGGAGCACCTAGTAGCGTCCTTGCTCCTAGTAGTAGGGCCAGGAGCCGCTAGTGGCGTCCAGGAGCCCCTAGTAGCGTCCTTGCTCTTAGTAGTAGGGCCAGGAGCCCCTAGTAGCGTCCTTGCTCCTAGTAGTAGGGCCAGGAGCCCCTACTAGCGTCCTTGCTCCTAGTAGTGGGGCCAGGAGCCCCTAGTAGCGTCCTTGCTTCTAGTAGTCAGGAGCCCCTACTAGCGTCCTTGCTCCTAGTAGTAGGGCCAGGAGCCCCTAGCAGCGTCCTTGCTCCTAGTAGTAGGGCCAGGAGCCCCTAGCAGCGTCCTTGCTCCTAGTAGTAGGGCCAGGAGCCCCTAGTAGCGTCCTAGAACCTGCTTCATAAAAGCCCCTCAAACTTTTGTACATGCACCTTCTTTTCTTTTTACACCTAAGAGTTCTTAATTAAAGGTAACCATGTCCATCGCACCTCGGGGAGGATTTCCACGGAGACCTCGGTGGGACCGCCCAAGGATTTCCAGGATTGACCCTCCGTGATCTCCAACTTGCCCAGCAGTAACCTGTGGCAGAGGACGATGTCGGGGGATGCACATACCAAAACCTTTGCGAAGCGTCCGACAGACTATTCTTAAAATATGCATGCACTCCAACCAAATAGCGATGGCCTCCAACCTAATAGCAACCCCTTTGAATAAAACCATCCGGGTTTCTTTTTGGACAGTTTACACTTTCTCTGTTTGAACATCGAACCACTGTTTATATGTGTGACCTTTGAACGGCTACCCAACACAGTCGCCCGTCAAAGAAACTTTGCGAGGTCAGAAACATGGGCAACTCGTCTCACCCGAATACTTCTGAGCAGATTTAGGTTTCATCAAGAAAGATCAACATAACTGTCAGCAGGCCAAAAAGTAGCCCCAAACTATGACCCTCCAACAAAACATCTCGCAAAAAACGTCAGGATCCCTGAACATCTCTTGATTTAGTTCACTTTCCAATCAGTTTGTGCAACAAAATCTACAACCCCCCCACGACTCATGAATCATCTAGCCAAACAGTGGCCACAATACCAAGTGACTTCTGACGGCCGGTGGGCACGCCACGGACTTCACAGATGCGCTGCTTCAATAAGCCAGCAAAGTCCTAACCCAAGTTGGCTCGGAGTGCAGATCGTGGTGCAATTTCTCTTGACAAGAAGAAAAAGAGCTCAGGGCGCTATATACAAAGGTATGCAAAGGTGCTAATATGCGCCATTCTAATATGCCGAGCTGCTATCAAGACACCACAGCTCAACATGGTCTTTCAACCCTGAGTCTGTCTGTGCATACACCTTCTTAAATGTTCCTTAGCTCATCATCTCTCTACCATATTCCAGCTAAAGGCATCACTTTCATGCCAACACGGGGCTCCGGGTCGGTCCGCACGGCGTCCTGTGAGCAAGTCACGGAATCCTCGAGGATGGTCAGAAGCAAATCGCCACATTCGTAGACTTGAATCGCCATGGGTCGAATTCATCGAGGAACTACTAGCGAGAAGCTGCTAGTAACAAGGGCATTGCTACTAGTAACAAGAAGCTGCTAGTAACAAGGGCATCGCTATTAGTACAAGTGAATAGTAATGAATAGAGAAGTGAACGACCCAAGTTGGAACTCGCCGGAACTGGGACGAGTGGGAGGATAGATGTAAAAAAACTTCAAAAAATAATAAGGTCAAACTTTTCACGGCTCTTGATAGGTCGCTGATTTTCAGCAGCCTTAACTTAACTTAAAACTGGTGTGCTTTCAAAGTTGCTTAGCTGGTGTGTCTTCATCACACCTGGCCCCAACAGATCTTTCTTGGCCAAATCTCCAAATGGCTGCAGGACGCAGTCAGATTTCACACTCAAGACGGACTATGAATGACTATCCGTTGTCACAAGTGTTACCGGACCTGCAAGTGGCGCCAACAGAGTCAGGCAAAAACTTTTCAGCACGTTGCGTTTTGGTGGCGTAGGATATTTAATGCTCGGGTGGAAGGGCTCGGGGCATGTCCATCCAACAATTGGTTCTCACCGTGTTTCACGTGGCCCAGGATGCACTTCTGGAACTGGAAATATGGAGCTCCACACGACACGCTGGCAATTCTTCGGTGGTCCGTCCCAAGGTCGCAAATTCAAGGGAAAAAACACACATTGATTGCGATGGCCTCGGACCCAATAGCGATGGCTCCAACCTGATAGCCATGGCCTCCAACCTACTAGCGATGGTCTCCAACCCACTAGCGATAGCCTCCAACCTGATTGCGAGGGCTCCAACCTATTAGCGATGGTCTCCAACCCACTAGCGATAGCCTCCAACCTGATTGCGAGGGCTCCAACCTATTAGCGATGGTCTCCAACCCACTAGCGATAGCCTCCAACCTGATTGCGAGGGCTCCAACCTATTAGCGATGGCCTCTAACCTACCAGTGATGGCCTCCAACCTATTAGAGATGGCCTCCAACCTAATAGCGATGGCCTCCGACCTAATAGCGGTGGCCCCTAACCTACTGGCGATGGCCTCCAACCTAAATTGAACAAACAAGTTTTTTTGCGCCAAAAACTTTGGACACCTTGCTCTTCCACCAGATTTCCCGCAGCCTCTCGATAGTCCTCGGCCAGCTGAACCAAATCCTGCTGTGACGAGTTCATGCACAGCGCGCTTTGTTTTTGAGAACGCCCCTAGTTTCCCAAAAGATTTAGGAACCAAATCATTGGTGCGTGAGCTATCCTGCGTCCACTTACTAAAAACTTTAGTAGCTAGGAGCGAACCTTACTTAAGTGGGCGCCTACTTCAGTAAGGGGGCAGGGCCACGTACTAAAAATGAAAGAAGAGCGTGCTTTGCTTTCCGTTTGCGACCGGCTTTCCAGTTCAAGCACTTTCGCCAAATGGCCGGTGGCACACTCCGACTCATCGAATTCCATCCTCACTTTGCTTGACGGCCACCCTAGTGGACCCCAAAAGGCCTATCATTCAATCGCTATCTTCCAAGACGGCCTGGCAACAAAAGACATAAAGAACATCTTTCATAAGGTTCCCTTTCAAAGGTTACATTCTAATTTCGTCTTTGGCTCAATTTCTTCTATCCCACCCTGTAAGCAGTGGGGGGGACAAGTGGGATTCGATAGTGCCCCAGAGCCGCTGGGCTTGTGGTCTTGATCTGAAGTTGCATCGACTTTTCGATCAAGTCCGCCGACCCCGGTCCAGGTCGATGAGCGTGAGCGTGGGCGGAGCGGACTCCGGTGAGCGGTGGGCAATGTTACTCAGCTGTCGCATTGACAAAGGCTTGCCCAAAAACTCCCGCTTCAGTGACATTTGTCTAAATTCTTCTCTTCTGGGACCGCGTTGCCCCAGGCTTTGGTGCCGGGACTCCCCCCTGCGCCTGGAAGACCCAGTCTGGCGCCCTTTTTGGATTGAGGCGGTGAGATTGAAGCCAGCCAGGCACACCGCATGGTACTGCTCGCCGCGCGCGGTACCTCCCCCAATACACCCATCCTAAACTCATTTGCAAGATCCACTCGGTCAGCTGAGGGCCCTGCCCACGGCTCCCTGACCCGTCTTGGGGGTAGGCAGCCGCGGGCCCTGTTTGTGGCCAAAGGCCCCAGGCCGTCCAACGCAGCTGCATTGTCTTCGACTCTAGGCAGCAATCGCTGGTTCAAGGGAGAACGAAAGTTTAGAACGCGGGAGAACATCAAGACCTGCCCATCATGAAACTAGCCCCATTGGGCCAACAGCAGGTCCACCCGTTCATGCACCCACACTCCTTGTTCCAGGGCGGGAGGAGTTTCACTTGACTTGAAGGCGGGACCACCACAACACAAAGACTCACTTGTCAGTCCCGCCCACCCTACATACTGTACTTCCTGTAAATGGGAACAGCTCTTAAACAACATGACGCCATCATTACGTTCGGGGCTCTTGAACTCTTCAACAATGAACCGAGAACCCACAATGTCTCTCGACAGATCCACTCTCCTTATCTGCCCTTAGAAAAGGACACCTCAAACGGTGCAACTGTGGGTTGACAATATCTTTGCGGTTTGCTTGAACCTGGTATTGCTTGCTTGGGGAAGCCGATGATGGGATCACCACGAACCATCAGTTGCTACACATTTGGTTCTTGGTCACATCACAGCGCATAGCAACCGTCGTTTGATACTGAACCACTCAATTTCCCTGTGATCTTTTTACGACTGCTCACTTTCAGTAAAGAAACCAAAACCCTTCATTTCTTCCTTCCTTTTGTCCTCCATACGCTCTTAGGTTGGAGGCCCTTGTTAGGTTGGAGGCCATCGCCATTGGGGGGAAGCCGGCTTAAACAAAAAAACACAATTAGTCCTCTCTTCCTCGGCCAGCGCCTTCCTCGTGCCCCACGAGCGTCATGCCATGGCCTCCTCGCTGGGCTCATTCGGCGCTGACATGGACTCGTTGAGCCTCTCGCTGGACTCGTCTGACGTCAAACCTTGTGATCCAATCGGGTTAAGAAGAAAATTAAACTGAAACATCATATAGAAGGAGCAAAACAGTCTTTTTGAATTTTAAATTACATTTTTTTGTTCGAAGAGAAACTGGGTGAAACTTGATTGTGCCCACTAAGAGCAGTGATAAAACAGTGATAGAGAAACAGCATTGATTTGGGACTTGGACTATGGGACTATGATGTTTGGGTGCTCGTCGAAGGTTTCTGAACCTGGGCTTCTTCTGAGAAAAGGCTGAATAGTGCAAAATCTCCGGATCTCTTTCGTCCAAAATCCTCGGGACTAGTGATGACAATAGCGATATGCAGCGATATAGTGACCCCAAAACAGTGTATCACATTCAAACCATGAAGCGCGACAACATTTCCTCTATCTTTGAAGATCAACCCCCGTAGGTTGGAGGCCATCGCTCTTAGGTTAGAGGCCATCGCTATTAGGTTGGAGGACATCGCTCTTAGGTTGGATGAAGGCCATTGCCCGTAGGTTGGAGGCCATCGCTAGTAGGTTGAAGGCCATTGCTAGTAGGTTGGAGGCCATCGCTAGTAGGTTGGAGACCTGGAGGCCATTGCTAGTAGTTTGGAGGCCATTGCTAGTAGGTTGGAGGCCATCACTGTAGTAGGTTGGAGGCCATCACCAGGAGGTAGGAGGCCATTGCTAGTAGGTTTGGAGGCCATTGCTAGTAGGTTGAAGGCCCTTGGTAGTAGGTTGGAGGCCATTGCTAGTAGGTTGAAGGCCATTGCTAGCAGGTTGGAGGCCATTGCTAGTAGGTTGGAGGCCATTGCTAGTAGGTT